CATGAGCTAATAAGCTATTCACTGCATGTATTATAATTTCTGGTTTCATACCCTTTGAATTATGAGTAAATACTGTAATTGAAGCAACTATGAGTTCATTATTTCCAAAACAGAGGAGAATAACTCTCCAGGATACAAACAATGTAAAAACTAACCATATTGTAAAAATAATAAAGGCATTTACTAACTTAAGTGATTCCAATTAACTGATTAAGCAAATAAAAATCTCTGAAATCTAACGCTGCCAACATATGCGCAATATGATACTATAGGGTGCATAAACAAAACTTCTTTATTAGTTTATGAACAGCTAGCTTTGTTTTGCTGCATCCAATGCAAAAGGAGAATTGCTTGTTAAAAATAGTGGTTTGGGGCCTGATCTTGCAGCACTGAAAGTCAATAGGAGTCGTGAGGTAGACTTTGGTGGGGACTGGATTGGATCCTTAGTTAGCTGCTTTGTATGTGTTGTTTAACTAGACTGCTAATGAAAAAAGGTCACTAGTTGCATTTTATAACTATATGTTTGCTTTGAACTGATAGAAGCCAGAAAATTCAGAATCAAACTTCCAGGCTAGATTTACTTCCACTGGAGAAATTTGGTTCCCAGTGGGGGAAAGGCAACTTAGAGGGGAGGTCACAAAGGACCTGCAAACCAGTTGTGCCACAGGTATGGCAATCATTGGCCCAGCCTAGAAAATGGGTGATGCTGACTGAGAAGGAAGGTGTGACCATGGCTCAGAATAAGTACTGATTGAGTGCATCCCCTAAACATCTTTTATTGGTAGGGGTTCTCTTGGGCCATGCTTACACATTAAAGCCGTTGTCCCTTGATGGAACCCTCAGGAGCATGCCACAGCCATCCTCCGAGGGCTGATGTCCTTCTCATGGGCACAGGTAGTACAATTTGCACCTTTGTGTGCCAGTGGAGAGAAACAACCCTCCATTTGTAATCTGTGTTGTCATGGTTAGATATTGTAGGAACCTCTAAATAAAGAATGAACTGCATGTCTGCCATACTACATATTCTGTAATATCTAGGCATAACATGGCAGATTGAGATAGAGCATTTCATCAACTATGGATCACTGCAATTGCATATTTAGAAACCAATATGCATATTTAAAATCCTATATGGGGAATACTTTTACAGTTACAGATTACTTCATTTTATTTCCTATTTAGGACAAAAGAAAGAACAAGATTATATACTAATCACAAGCTACGTTTTCTTCCATGTATTGTTTGAGATGTTTAAACAATATCATTATGGATGTCTGACATGAAGGGGAACAGTAAAAAGGTCAGCAGCTGAACAAAGCTTTTTCACTACAGGAGATTGGTCAAACAAAATAAACATGACTAAACGATGTTAAATAAGAGCAAATTTAAGGCCCAGTGCTAACGTGGGCAAAACTCCTGTTGACTTTACTAGGAGTTTCTTTACATAAATATCACAGTATCATACCTTATAGTGAAGAAACAGTCAATAAGATTAAAAAGATTAAAAAACATATAAATGTACAATGACGATGATGAAGATTCTTCAGAACTAACTTTTCTTTATGTCCAGGCTATGAATGACCTTACCATACAGTTCTTTGCTTTCAAAATACACCACATGTGGGCCAGCCAAACGTGTGTTTGTGTGTGTATACATATATATACACACACATATATCTATTGTTCAGAAATCATGAGTGAGGACCCCAAAAGTTATGAGATTGGCTTAAAATCATGAGGGTTCTTTTTAAAGGGGTTCTTTTTATTTTCCTTATGGTATTTAATCCTATTCGGCTACACCTAGGTCACTTTTGCAAGCTTTACACTGAAGCTATGAAAGCTAGATGTGTTTTTAAGTGAAAAATGAGATTCCATGGAATTATAAGATTCCAGGAGCTAGGGCTTCAATAACAGCACCACATATTAAATATTGTCAGACTCATGATGAAATTGCAAAAGTTGGCAACTCTGTAGCATGCAAGTGTGTGTGTGTATATGTGTATATATATATATATATAATGTTCCTGGTAAAGTAAAGTATTTGGAATGGAATTTTACAGAGTGTATGATCACTCCTTCCACATTCTTCTTGGCAAATTCTTGCTTTACTGAGACTATGGATCTCTGTTTGTGTTTTTTAATTATAATTTATAATTTAAGAACATAAGAATGGCCATAGTAGGTCAGACCAGTGGTCCATCTAGCTCAGTATCCTGTCTTCCAACAGTGAAGAATGAACAGAACAGGGCAATTTCAAGTGATCCATCCACTCTCATCCAGTCCCAGCTTCTGGAAGTCAAAGGCTTTGGGACACCCAGAGCACGGGGCTGTGTCCTTGACTAATAGCCATTGATAAGCCTGTACTCAATGAATTATATAATTCTTTTTTGAACACAGTTATGTTTTTGGCCTTCACAACATCCCTTAGCTATGAGTTCCACAGGTTGTGTGAAGAAGTACTTTCTTATGTTTGTTTTGAACCTGCTGCCTATTAATTTCATTGGGGGACCGCTAGTAATTGTGTTATGCAAAAGGGTAAATAACATTTCCTTTTTCACTTTCTTTACACCATTCATAATTTTATAGACCTCTGTCATATCCACCCCTAGTTATCTATTTAGAAGATGAACAGTCCTAGTTATTTAATCTCTCCTCCTATGGAAGCTGTTTCATACCCCTAATCACTTTTGTTACCCTTCTCTATATTTTTTTCCAATTCTAATATATATTTTTGAAAATGGGGCAACCAGAACTGCACATGATATTCAAGGTATGGGCATACTATGGATTTATATAGTGGCATTATGACATTTTTATGTCTTCTTATATATCCCTTTCCTAATGGTTCCTAACATTGTTAGCTTTTTTGACTGGTGTTGCACATTTAGCAGATGTTTTCAGAGAGCTATCTATGAGGACTCCAAGATTACTTTCTTGAGTGGTAACAGCTAATTTAGATCCCACAATTTTGTATGTATAATTGGGGTTATGTTTTCCAGAGTGTAATAGTTGCATGTATTAACATTGAATTTCATCTACCATTTTGTTGTCCAGTCACCGAGTTTTGTGAGATCCCTTTACAACTCTTTGCAGTCAGCTTCGGCCTTACCTATTTTGAGTAATTTTATATCATCTGCAAACTTTGCCATCTCACTGTTTACCCCTTTTTTCAGATCATTTATGAATATGTTGAACAGCACTGGTCCCAGTACAGATCCTTTGGGGACCCCACTGTTTACCTCTCTCTATTCTGAAAACTGACCATTTATTCCTACTCTTTTTTTCCTATCTTTTAACCAGTTACTGATCCAGGAGAGGGCCTTCTCTCTTATCCTAAGACTGCTTACTTGGCTTAAGAGCCTTTGGTGAGAGACCTTGTCAAAGGCTTCTGAAAGTCCAAGTACACTATACCCAGGGCTGACACTTCCACTAGGCGACCCTAGGGCGGCAGGATTTGGGGGGCAGCATTTTGCCGCCCTCGGCGGCAATTCGGTGGCGGCGGGTCCTTCCGCTCCGGGTCTTTGGCGGAAATTCGGCAGTGGGTCCTTCTCTCGCTCCAGAACCCGCCGCTGAAGTGCCCCGAAGACGTGGAGTGGAAGGACCCCCGCTGCCGAATGCTCAGAGGAGGAGTGCTGTCGCCTAGGGCGGCAAAAACCCTGGCCCCGCTCCTGACTATACCCACTGGATCACCCTTGTCCACTTGTTTGCTGACACCCTCAAATAATTCTGTAAATTGTGAGGCATGATTTCTCTTTACAAAGGCCATGTTAACTCTTCCCTAACATATTGTGTTCATCTATCTAATCTATCTTTCTGATATTTCTGTTCTTTGATATACTTTCAACCACTTTGCCTGGTAATGAAGTTATGCTTATTGGCCTGGAATTGCCAGGATCGCCTCTGGAGCCTTTTATTTATTTATTTATTTTAAATCAGTATTACATTAGCTATCCTCCAGACATCTGGTACAGAGGCTGATTTAAGTGATAGGTTACATACCACAGTTAGTAGTTCTGCAATTTCATATTTGAGTTCCTTCCCTCCTTCCTTACATTTTAATAGTAAATATAATAACTACTGTAAAAAAAATGAAGCCATTGTGAGTTACACAACACAGAGAGACACAATGTACTCAAAATTTTTCCAAAATTAAGATTAGTAAAAGTAAGCTTTTTACAAGCTTATGGTCAGTAAAAATGTTTCCACAAATTTAAAATACATTCCTATGGAAATAGATTTTTTGTTTGTTTGAATGGCCATCCCCCCGAAAGCATTGTCTTAATGCAGGGGAGCCTACGTGTGAAAGTGATGCTTGAGTACCCAGTTCCAGGGAAATACAAAAAGTAAACACGCAGCCCAGTGAAAAGAACATTGGATTTTTAAAAATTATTTGTTTTTCAACCAAAGGTGATGGGACGGTGTTAATTATAGGTAAAGAAATTTCATATATTTGCAGGAACAATTTATATAGTGGGGGTGCTGAGAGCCACTGAACCAAACTGTAAACCCTGCGTATAATGGAAACCACTTGAAACTAGAGGGTGCTCAGCGCCCCCTGCACCCCTAGTTCCAGCATTTATGTATATTTGTGTGTATCCCAGTGTCCCTTTACATTAGGGATGTTTTAAATTTATATTTCTTCCTTGAGAACACCATCTTGCCTTCTGAACTCAAGAATAACTCCTGCTGCAGTCTATACGGCTTTTGCTTCAGTAAAGAATGCACGGTAGTCCCCGGAATAAATAAACCAAACTACTGTTGCCTGTGACAAACTTGTCCTTAGTTTTTAAAATGCATCTCGGAGCGCAGACCTTCCTGCTGGAGCCTCCCGTGGTTGTGTGGCTGGGACCTGTATGATTAATCTCGCCGGGAGCCACACATCTAAGGTGTCTTCAAAATGACACTGAAGGAGAAGCGAGCACAGGTGACGTGAGCAGAGGGAGGTGGAGAGAGGAGATCGGCGGCGCAGAGTAACCAGGCTCTAGATCCCCGGCTTGCAGCTGGCACGCCCGCAGCGAGCTGCCTTTGCTATGCCTCTAGTCGAGCTCTGTGTCGGAGCGAGACTTGCCCCACACGCCTGTTCCTATTGGAGCAAACCTCTCCTGCTCCGCCGGCCTGATCCCCGCAGGGGCGGGGCCTCGCAAAGTTTTCATTGAGGTGGAGAAGTGTGGGCAAAGAGCACTGCTGCAGCTGTGTCTGAGCGTCGGTGAGGGGCAGCAAGGCAGACAGCAGGCGCAGCAGGAACGGGAGAGGCGGTCTACTTCCCCCTCTGCCACCTACAGCGCTCTGGCCGCCGCACCAGCGGAGGGGAGCATGCAAGTCGTTTTAGGAGGATGCAAAATGCCAGCAACCTAGCAGCTTGGGATGATTTTGCTCAGTGTACCACAAGCTGGGTCCTACGGGCCAGAAGCTGGAAGAAAGTGGCTGGAGTCCTCAGTGTGTCTGGGAATCGGTGAATCGTGACTCACACCACTCCTCGGATATATAAACAGAGAGCGAGCGAGAGAGAGGGAGAGCAAAGCCTTTGGTATATAACAGAACCGATCGAGTGCGATTTAATTTTAAAATGCTGGTTCTCCTTTCTTGATGTGGGGCACAACAAAATGGTTCTCTAGTAAGAAAAAGAAAAAATATCTCCTCCAAGAAACCGTGCGTCTTGCAACTGAAGTCACCAGAAATCCAGCTGCTTCGGGATTTAATGGGCTCTTCCAAAGATGTTAAGGGACTTGTGAGAAAATCCGGTGAAAGACAATGCTAAAGTGCATTAGCGCTGTGCAAGGGTGGACCTAAAAGTTATGAAGTGGTACCTGTCGTAACAACAAGCAAATATTGTTCTCGTTTATTTAATCAAGACTCGAACTAGTCAGAACTTCAAGCAATGGCAACAGAAGTGGTGTGTGGATTGATCTTCAGATTGCTACTTCCAATATGTCTAGTAGCTGGTACGTGAATTTTGGCTTGCATGGGGGGGGGCGTTAATTTTAAATTGTTGTTCTTATCCGCAGTTACTCCAAAGGTATCCATATCGTTGTAAACCTGCTTTACTTTTCTGAACGCCTTACCTTCAAAGTGAAATAATGTTTCTTTAGCAATCGTTGTTCTAGAGATGCAGCAATCCGTATATTACCTCCTCTTTTTATTTAAGATGCACTATGCATGGGCTTCAGAAATCCCCTCTGCCTTTTTTTTTAATGTTGTTGATTCTGGAATTACTTTTTGTTTTCCCCACAAACTTCCATGTTTGCAGCTCATTGACACCTAATTTACATTTCCTAGTGGATAGTCTAGAGCCAGTTTACAACTAATTCAAGATACCCCACGTGTATTTGATTTCATGCAATATGCGAGGATAATAATCGTGGCTGTATCACTGGCACTGAACTGGTTTAAGTGAAATACTGTGCAGTACTCTTCGATTTGCACAGATCTTTACATAACCTTGTATCATTTTACTCGAAAAGTCTAGTGTATAAAAATCTCTACTTTCCTTCTGCATCCCAACAGACGGTGCAAGAAATATTAACAAGATAATATTTTCTCGTTCTGGGCATTTTATATTTTCCTTTTTGTTGAATTCAGGATGCTTTGAAAAAGTAAATTATTTTTAGATTTAAAATAACAGGAATTGATGTTTGAGATAGAGGTAAATGACTAATTTGTTTTTAATATTTTCTGAGAAAGTAAAATGATTTAATAATT